ACATACATTAAGAGCCAATGACACATTACCTGCGTTTCTCAGAAAGCCTCATGCACCCACACAGCTGTTAATGAGATGCATCCATTAGGACATGGCAGCCTCCCTCTCGCAGACAGACGCTAAGAGCGGCCCAGTCTTTGTAATATACACACTAATATGAGCTGCTTTTAGAGAGATCCAGGCTAGATAAGAGCAGTGGGCAGCTGTTGAAACAATGTTCTAATGGCAGATCCTTCTCTGACTAGAGCTGTTGGATTGTGTAACGTTATTATGAGGTTCCCTAACATAACCTGAAAGATATTGCTGTATCTCTTAACAGCATTAAATGACAAAATTTAAGTTTGTCTTTGATAAGGAATACGACTGAATGAATCTCTTGATGAAGAGCATAACAACCCAAGTGCCCTTTGTGCATGATTGAGAAAACAGACAGCTGTAATATAAGTTACAACTTGACAGCACCAAGAGGGGATCTGAGTGAGCGAGACTATTGACAAATGCCAGTAGAGACATGTGATACTTAAGTCAGCTGTATCCTTCCAGCTCTGTATCTGCCAACATATAGATCATGAATATAATATATCATAACTGAATGATGGTTCTGATTTTTTTAAATGCTTGAAAAGTATTTTAAGCTCACCACGCCAGCACTTATTTGATTAAAATATAGTAAAAACAATAATATTGTAAAATGTATTTACTATTTAGGTTGTTTAACTGTTTTCTATTTGTGGCCTTTACCATCACGCTCCTGGTCGGCCAAGCGAGAGAGTGGGGAACGGCTATGTGGGACAATGAACAGTACTGTTATACTTCATTTGAGGAATTTTCTAAGGAGCTCCACAAGGTTTTCGACCGTTTCGCTCTGGCGCACTCTCACCGCGTCTTGTAGCTAGAATGCCAAGGCGCAGTGGGATCATTTCCTTCACGGACTGGCCGAGTACATCAAGGAGGAGATCTATTCCCCCCAGTCTAGATGGATTAATTGATCTCGCCATTCGCGTGGACAATCGGATTGCTCTTCGTGCCCGGCATTGCAGGGGCGTGTCTTCTCACAAGCCACTTTCCAGGGTTGTCACAGGAACAGCGAGTGACACACCATCTCAGCGTCTTGTCTTTCCGGAGGAGGAGCCTATGCCGATCGGGAGAGCTCAGCTGACTATCACGGAGTGGCGTCATCGTCTCAACAACAACCTCTGTTTCTATTGCGGGGAGGAAGGGCACATGGCGGCCTCATGTCCTGCTAAGGGGCGGCACTTACCGTGTAAGGGAGGACGCACGATGAGTGTCACCAATACTCGGTTTCACTCTGGTGGTTGTTCCGTTCTCCAAGTCTTGTTACAGTTTAATGGGTCTATTCATCAGGTGTTTGCTTTGATCGATTCTGGAGCGGAGGGCGATTTTATGGACTCCAGGCTGGCCACACGCTTGGGTATTTCACCTGTTACTCTGGCCGAACCCATTTCAGCTAGGACCCTTTGCGGCACCCTTCTCACCAGAATTGCTCATTCTACTAAACCTATTACTCTCACCCTCTCAGGCAATCATGCTGAGGAGATTTGTTTCCTCCTCATTCACTCTCCCACTGCTCCAGTGGTTTTGGGACACACCTGGCTGGTCAAGCATAATCCTCACATTGACTGGGCTTTTAATTCTGTGTTTGCCTGGAGCCCTTTTTGTTTATCACAATGTTTGGGTCCCGTGTTTTCCCCTGTAATGTCTTGTTCTGTGTTGCAGAAGGATTTGGTGAGCCTGGCGAAGGTACCGGAGGCTTACCATGACTTGAGAGCGGGTTTTAGTAAGTCCCGAGCTTCATCTTTTCCTCTGCACTGCCCGTATGACTGTGTGATAGATCTGTTGCCTGGCACTTCTCCACCTAAGGGGCGTCTTTACTCTCTTACTGGACCTGAGAGGGAGGCCATGGAGAAGTATATTCACGATTCTCAGGTAGCTGGTATCATCCGGCCCTCTTCCTCTCCGGCTGGGGCGGGGTTCTTCTTCGTGGAGAAGAAGGATGGATTGCTGCATAGACTATCAGGGTTTGAATGACATCACGGTGAAGAATCGTTATTCTTTGCCATTGATGTCATCGGCCTTCGAGCTCTTGCAGGGGGCTACCATCTTTACGAAGTTGGACCTTCACAATGCTTATCATCTAGTTCGGATTAGGGAGAGGGACGAATGGAAGACCGCCTTTAACACCCCTACTGGGCACTTTGAGTATTTGGTCATGCTGTTCAGGCTTTCTAACTCTCCGGCGGTCTTTCATGCACTCGTCAATTACGTGCTCTGGGACATGGTTGACTGGTTTGTTTTTGTTTACCTCGACAACATCCTGATCTTCTCCCAGAACGAGCGCGACCATGTCCAGCACGTCAGGCGGGTGCTCCAGTGGCTGCTTGAGAATCGCTTGTTCGCCAGTGTGGAGAAGTGCGAGTTTCACGCACAGTCGGTTCCATTCCTGGGATTTATTCTTTTGCCTGAAGGTATCCGAATGGATACCAGCCTGTCCGGTTTGCGCTGTGGGTAAGGGCTCCAATCGACCCCCAGCAGGGCTACTCCAGCCGCTGCCTGTCCCTTCACGGCCCTGGTCACACATAGCTATGGACTTTGTCACAGGCCTACCCTCATCTAGTGGCAACACGGTAGTCCTTACTGTGGTGGACAGGTTCTCGAAGGCGGCCCATTTTATCCCCCTCCCCAAATTGCCAATAGCGAGGGCGTTTATTCAAAGATGCCTCCATACGTGGAGGATCGCCAGAGAAGCCCTCACTCGGACTGGCAACAGGAACAAGGTGTCTGCGGACCATCACCGCAATAAGCCCCCACTTTACATGTGAGGTCAAAAGGTCTGGTTGTCCTCCCAAGACATTCCTCTCAGACTTCCCTCACGAAAACTGGGACCCAAGTTTATTGGACCATTTTCCATCACCAAGGTGCTCAGTCCGGTGTCCGTCCGACTCAAACTTAGCCCCCAGTTTAAGAATATCCACCCGGTTTTTTTTTGTCTCCAAGATCAAGCCCATCATTCGCTCCCCCCTTCAACCCCAAACCTCTGCCCCTCCGCCTCCTAGACTCATCGAGGGGTCGCCAGCTTATACTGTACGTTGGCTCCTTGATGTGAGACGTAGGGGTAGAGGCCATCAGTATCTGGTAGACTGGGAGGGCTATAGTCCAGAGGAGAGGTGCTGGGTTCCGGCTTGTGACATTCTGGATTGCTCTCTCATTGACCAATTCCATCTACATCTTGGTGAGTCCTCCGGGGACGCCAGGAGGCGTGCCTGAGGGAGGGGCTGCTGTCACGGTTCAGGGTGCACCATCGGCTTCCCCCTGTTGTCTGTGCTGTCCTGTCTTCTTTCTGCTGCTTGTGACCTGTGCAATTAGTGCTGATCTTGCGCGCAGGTGCACAGCCTCACCTGACGCTTGTTCCCATTACCCTTATAATTTCTGCTGTTTCTGCCTCTTATTGTCAGTAGATCTTCCCGTGCCTTGTCTTTTGTGTTCTGCTTTATGCTGTGTTCTGTTTTTTGTGGCTTACCTCTGTTTGATTGTGTCCTTAGACGAGGCGTGACAGCTTTCTGTTGTCTTCGCTGTCTCTCTCGGGTCTCGTTCCTCTTCCTGTGTGGACAAGGTGTCTGGGGATCTCTTCAGGCAGAGCTGTCTGCTGAGCTCGTCTGGGCAGCTCTGGAGCTCCCTTACACATCCTTTATGTTTGTTTTTTGGCACCTCTACTTCGGGGTTGGTCTCTGCCTAAGTTTAATAAACATTGTTCTCTCATCCTGACTCATTTGAGTCCTCTGTTCAATCGGCCGTGACAAACTTTTAAAAGTAATGCATTACAATATTACGTTACTCCCTAAAAAAGTAACTAATTGCATTACTTAGTTACTTTTTATGTGATGTTTATAAACAAATTTCGGGAGGAGCACGCACAGACAATTAACACGGCCAGTTCATCATTAGTGATTACACCATTTATCCAATCAGCGCAAGAGAAAACTCCTATAAATAACCAAGTACGTCCTACCTTCGTTATCTCTCGACTTTCAGCATCCCTCCACCACCCCGATCCCGCACCTTCAGCATAGTTTCTACCCCAGCACGTGGAGAAGCATTCGGAGGGAGCGCTTTTGGGCCGGGCTGGACACCGAGCTTGGACCCCTCTCCCCGGACAGGGGGAGGGTGCCCCGGGCTCGGGAGTCTTGCTGAGCTCAGAGCCCTCTCCCTGGACAGCCCGCCAAATACGCATAACCTTTATTTAATTACATGTAAGTGTGAACTCGTGAAGGAACGTAATGTGTTACATTACTTTTGCTCATCGTTGCTGGGCTTGCTTTTTTGTTTTTAACATAAAAAGTTTTATTTTTGGCAAATGCCCTTTCAGACCAAAATTAATAAGCCTCCGACTGTACAGTAGAGGATGCAGCTCGAACAAACCATTCAACTGTGCTGCCAGTCAATAAATGGGAAAACAAACTAACTGGCATTACATTTTTGAAAAAGTTTTCTTGTAAATTAATAAGTAATGCATTACTTTATTAGTTACTTGAAAAGTAATCTGATTACATAACATGCATTACTTATAATCCATTACACCCAACACTGTTAATTACTGATAAAAGTCTATTAACTAAATAAACTAATTATGCAGCATATATTATCAGCTTTTAAATTAATTAATAGTTGGTAATGTTACTACTGTATTTAAACCCTCATCAGGCCAAATTTGACAAATTATATTTAATTTTTAAATACAGTTTTGAGAGAAAATGCTGCTGGAATTATTTTGGTCCCATATGCAATTCACTAATGCTTAATAAAAGCCCTTATTGACATGGAGCATGAGACATGTAGCCTGAGCTTTTTAGCGTATGAAGTCTCATTATTTCATCTATGTTATTAGAAACCAAACTCAAGAACTAGGCTGCTACTATAATTTGAGACAACATAAATATAACCAAAAAAGAAATGACCTAGACATGTCAAAAGATAATACTTACTGGTCCTGAAGTCTGAAATCAGAATTCTCAGCAGAGATCTGGCCTGTCACTGGATGTATGAATGTAGTCGTCCTCTGGTTATGGCTACAGATAAGACAAAAACAAAGCGCATTAGCATGGTGATTATTATGCTTCCCTGCAGCAAAAACACATATCACACTCTGAACATCGGCACAATCAACACCTTAGATTTTCTCAGACATGTTCATCACAAAACAAATCACACACACCAGTGATAATCACTGGTGTTTGACTCTTTAATCATTTTTGTTTACACAGTAACCAGTGATTAATGCAAACATATATACAGTATATAACCTAATGTCATCCATAATACAAACAATAAGAAAGAAAGTTATAACTGAAAAAGATTTAGGTCTATACTCTAAGTGTAACATAGTCTGAGGTTTGGCAACATGTCAGCATGACATGTATTTCCAATGTGCCTATTTTAGGAAACTGCATCAACATCAAGAGTGGTCTGTTACATTTGAGGGGGAGACGACTGCACAGCAGAAATACGCTGTGCACCATATCAACCGAGGCATTGTCTCTACTATGTATTAAAGTGCTTCATGAAATGAACAACAAGAGACTAAATAACTGTGCTTGCATATGTAATCAAAGTTACGCTGTAATCTATGTCTGAGCTGATAAAAAAGCACCTTTCAAATCTTCAGATTGTTGAAGATGTTTGGAAAAGGAACACAAAAGTAGTCTGATAGGAAATCCGATGGTTGTATAATTATAGTTAGATTTACATGTATGGTATTCAGAGAACCTTACATTGTGTCCACACCAGACGCAAGTTGTGTGACGCGACACATCAAAAACAAATAGAACCCATAATAACCAGTGATTCTGTTTACAATGGGTGGCTTGTTCAGTCACAGACGGAAAAATAAAGCCCTGTTTTATTTCTGACATTCTTGATGCAGTTGCGCTACTTCAGACAACAGGACAAATGGATTCAGAACATTAAGTGTAGATAGCCTCAATCTGCTGCCACGTGGCACAGCACAACATGACAACGGTCGTACCCAGTGAAGGCACTATGGTGCACACACACAACTTAATTTTTTCCCATACCTAAACTTGACAACTACCTTACCGACTATTAATAAGCAGCAAATTAAGAGTTTATTGAGGCAAAAGTCATAGCTAATAGTTAGTTAATAGTGAGAATTGGACCTTAAAATGTGTGTGACCATATTTAAATATAGAAACAATATAGTTTTGATTTATTGCAAAATATGCATATATATTGAAGTATTTTGAGAGCATAGGAAGCTGACTCGATTACATCAATTGCAGCGCTTTATGGTAGTGGGCGGAAGTGAAAGCATTCTTTTAGCAATTTGATTGTTTTGAATCTCTGATTGGTGGAGATTTATCTGCAGAATAATGGGTGGTGTAGTTTTTAACCATAATTTAAAAAATGAAATAATGCATCTGGTGGCTTCAACAAAAGCATATACCATTTATTAATAACCTTGTTACACATAGCTCTTTTAAGGTTTCAAAATAAATGTCCATTTGAAGAACATTAATGGAATTTTAACTTCCGGAACCCGAATGTTTCTTGGTATATATATAGTCTTTGAGCTAACTCAAAGCGATATACAATAAGAGTGTGAAGAAGCACTATAATGCAATAAAGAGCCAAGAAAAATTCAGCCTTGGAGATAGCAGTATAGCACAAGAAGCTCACTGGTCTCTGAGAGATAAAGCATGTGGTATCAGACGTGACTCCACCACCATAAACGCCCACGCTACATCCTGAACTTTTGGCAGACAAGCCATGCAGAATAGCCATAGAAGAGCTCTAAAATTATTTATAATAAATAAAATTTAATTTAAACCAAGTAGAAGACATGAAATGTAGTTTCTTGGCATTATAAAAATGGGTGTTGATTTTTTTCCCCTCAAAATATGAGCTATTTTTTAAATGGATACAAACTGACCTCAAAGCCTTGAATGTAAAACACTCCCTATCTGAATAGGAATGCTTTGAAGTCATGAGGCATCATTTCAACAGCAGAACACACTGGTGTGCAACTAGAGTGTAAACATGTAAACTCAACATGTTTTTACACTTCCACTGAGGCACAGAGAAATGGAGGTGAGGTCAGAGCGCATTGTTTCCTTTCCAGTCGCTCCTATATATTTAAAGACCATAATTCACTGCATGGAGATGCCACACAGGTTGCAGCGACTATATAAACTTTACAGTTGTTTGTAATGGAGCTCTTTACAATTCTGGCTGACAGCCTGCGTGGTAAGTAAAGGATTTGTGTGCACAAACATGGTGTGCATCCTTGACAGAAGCCCCCGGGATCTCTATAATCGCCACACCTGTTTAGACTCATGTGATCATGTAGAAATACTCGCTATGTCTTGCTGCAAAGCCACATTAGAAGTTCCACCTTATCTTATACGGCTACACCATTATGCGAAACAAACTAAAATTAAACAATTATCAAGTCGAAAAGGTGTGTGTGTGTGTGTGACCCTAGACCACAAAATCAGTCATAAAGGTATATTTTAAGGGTAAAGATTTATACATAAATAAGCTTTCCATTGATATATGATTTGTTAGGATAGGACAATATTTGGCTGAGATACAATTATTTGAATGTCTGGAATCTGAGGGTGCAAAAAAATCTAAATATTGAGAAAATCACATTTAAAGCTGACCAAATGAAGTTCTTAGCAATGCATATTACTAATCAAAAATTATATTTATGGTAGGAAATTTACAAAATATCTTCATGGAACATGATCTTTACTTAAGATCCAAATGATTTTTGGCATAAAAGAAAAATCGATAATTTTGACCCATACAATGTATTGTTGGCTACTGCTACAAATATACCCGTGCTACGTATGACTGGTTTTGTGGTCCAGGGTCACATATATGCTGTGCATTTTCTTCCATGCTGGTATTTAAATAAATGTTTTCTAGGCTGGCTCATTAGTGTGGTATAATTTATTTCAGACAAGCATGCCTCATAAATGGAAGCAGAAAAAAACTAAATAAACTAGTTTGCTGTTTTAGCATGCAAGTCCTTGAGAATATGCTTCAATGTGAACCAGACTTTTTGCTGCAAGTCAATATTTCTCACTCAGTCTGTTGATTTCCTTTAGTAACTTGTCTTGTCACCTGTTTTTTAAGACGTCACTGCCACACTTGATGTTACTTTTCAATTTGCGCCAAGACTGAATCATGATGACTGGAAGTTGGATCAAGTGGTCATAACAGTCTTCCGCTGACGAGACCCTCAAGCAAACTTGGCACAACACAAGCTAAACTGCAAGTGAAAGACAAGAAGGACTATAAATACAAATGCATTAATTTATCTGAGGATGCAAGACTATATCCAGATAAGTAGTGCACGTCAGATGACTGCGTACATGTGAAACAAATTGTTAAAAGGCACCAATCTCTCAACTGAACAGACAACTCGCCCCAATGTGAAGGATTTGTCTCTATATTGCTTGGCACAAGCCAGCTGGTATGTTTTGCAGCTGCAAAATGAATTGCAGCTTGAACCATTATTTGTTCATTGGGCGTGTAAAGGTGGTGTCTATTTAAAAATGTTCAGATGAGCTGTGTTTAAACACTGTGTTTCAAAGCAGGTTGAAAAGCATTTTAAATGGATCTCTCATTGGGACAAGGTCATTCCCATTCACATCACACCGAATGAGGGAGAGAGATGAAATTTACAGAAAGCTCAGATACAAATTTCATCTTCTGACATTTAATGCAGGTCCCCTGATTACAATGAATCACCACATAATCAGTTAGAAATCCCACACATTGACCCAGGGTCAGCATGCAATTTATGCTATATAGTGCATCCAAAAATGTTTCATGACAGCCATTTAATAGAATGTTACAGGCTGTGCAATGATTTATTGAGTAGTTTCATTATATTTTTTTTCTCAGAAGCATATTAACAGTAAATCAGATGAAATAAAAATGTAACTAAAGCAAGCCTGAACTTCACACCCTGCAAACCACCTTAAGAAAACATGTTAGTGCAGCTTGTTTACCAGTAAGCTAAAACCGTACATAAGAGACCCCATTACTTCACTGAGAGCATTTTCACAATGGTGAACATGACCTGGTCTCCACTTACAATCAATAAGCGTCCCTCTGATGCCACATACAGTGTTGCAGAAGAGCAGCAGGCTTTTGTTTACCTGTCTCTTCACGGCTTAGGCTTCAGCGCTCAGTCTCTGTTGCCGGGGCTTTAGAGTGTCTAGCTGTCTCGTATGGTTGGGAGGGTAAAATGCCAGCGGTGTAGTGGTGTCTTGTGTCAGTGTCAAGGCACTGAGAGATGACCCCTGAAAAGAGCCGCTAGATCTTGCAAAGACTGGGACGGTACTTCTGAAGACCCTTCTGCATGTGTTATTAGTCATACACTAAAACCATTCAAAAGTTTGGGGTGGGGTCTGTAAGATTTTTAAATGTTTTTGAAAAACTCTCTTATGCTCACCAAGGTTACATTTATTTGATAAAAAAATACAGTAAAAACTGTAATACTGTGAAATATTATTGCAATTTAAAATAACACTTTTCTGCTTTAATATACGTCAAAATGTAATTTATTTCTATGATGGCAAAGCTGAATTCTCAGCAGCCCTTCTGCAGTGTCACATGATCCTTTTTATTCCTATTATCAATGTAAACAGTTGTGCTGCTTAATATTTTTGCGGAAACCATAATACTTTTTTTCAGAATTCTTTGATGAATCAATGTTCAAAAAAACAGCATTCATTTAAAACTGTTTTTTTTTTTGGTTGGTAAGTTATAAATGTCTTTACTGTCACTTTTGGTCAATTTAATGCATCCTTGTTAAAAAAAAGTATTAATTTCTTTTAAAAAAACAAACATTAACACTTTAGAATAGGGACCCATTCTCACTATTTACTAGTTGCTTATTAGCATGCATATGACTAGCATATTGACTATTTATTAGTAGTTACAAAGCACATATTAACGACTTTATGCATCAATTTCTTCTCTTCCGTGTCAGTCTTCGCAGCGCGTTAACGAGTGAATTGTGTTCTGAAGATGA